CCCAGGACCCTGGGATCATGACCTGAGCCGAAGGCAGACGCTTAACGACTGAGCCACCCAGGCGCCCCTCTCCTTACTTCTTATCCCCGGCCCGGCCAAACTGCAAGCCCTACATCTCTGGCTACACCCCACGTTAGCCCAGCTAAGTGCCAGCTCTCCTACCAGAACCTTCCGAACACCATTCCCTAATGAGTGTCCCTTCTCAGAATGTCTACAGCACTTACGCACCGATTCAAAGCCCGCGTTTAATCGTTCACTGCTTGGAAGAGGTGCCCTAGTTATTCCGACATTGACATCCTGAGTATCCAAGTGTCCTTTCATCTCCTTGACCATAGATCGCATTTCTTCCACTTGATCTGGAGCTCCTATGGCACCGATTCAGTTTAAAACAGCCCTAAATCCCTTGAAGCGTATGCAAAGTTTTATGAAAAATGGCTTTTGAAGAAATAGAATGTGGCTTTCATCGTACTCTCAAATGACCATAAGAGACAAAACGCTCTGTCAAATGATGGGTGCCCGTTATTTATACCAAAAATATTTGTTAACTTAAAAACTGCCCTTCATCACACAGCAAAAGAGTCAACTCTGTTGAACACTAACGAAAAGTTCTACTTCTCTGAAAAAGAGTAAAAGAACAAAAAAAAATCTCTCGACTTACTGTGTGTAGAAATTCAGGCCCTGGAAACTATTCAGCTTTTCTTATCTACAGCAGATACCTTTTGTTATTTCAGTAACCCAAGAATAATAAAGGAGCACTGCTGGGTTTTCTGAACCATGAAATCACCAAGCCTTTTCTGTCCTTTTAGGGCCTTAATAAAATTAATTTCACTATGACGCTTTAATTAAACATAAATATGGGTGCATTCTTAAGAAATGGGTAAGAAATGGGGATGGGAAAAACACTGAAAGGCAAAAACGAATCTCAGGGAAAAAAAAAAGTGTTCTTCTTTCCATCACCTGATTCCATACTGCAGAAAAAAAAAATACAATTACATATTCACTGATCTTAATTCTTTCTGGCTCCTGAAATTATATTTCTATTTGCCTGCAAACATAAATCCTGCAGAAGTTCCCATATCAAGCATATCAAAATTAGCATCAAAAACCACATAAACTTATAAATAATTTGCTGTCCTTACAGATGCTCCCTCACAGAGGACCATCAGAGATTTATGTATTCTGTTCTGTATCTGCATGCTTTGTCCTCTGGCCACTGCAGGGAAGATTCTTCCGGGACTCACACAAAGTGGCCGTCCGCATCTTCATGGTTACCTTTTGTTTCTTAAATCAATCTTCGCATGCTCACAGAATCTGTCAGCTGATTTTATCTCCTCCATCAGAAAACAAATTATTTATGCCAAACAAAAGAGATTAAACCACCTACCCTTCCTAAGATGCTTTATTTTTGCCTGTCCACTAAAACCGGCCTAAAAATAATCTGTTTTCAAGCAATGTAGCTCAATTTTCTTTCCGGAAAGAGAAAAAGGTGACTAAAATTTGCCTTTTAGTCCTTTTTATCCTGCTCGCCAAGGTCTTAATGCAATTCTTCACCACTAAGCGAGGCAGTCTCTTTAAGCCCTTGCCAACAAAGCAAACAGGGGCTTTATCACTTTTGGAAACTACAATCTTACCTGATTAAGTGAGGTGGTATCTCTAAGTACAGCATCGGGAGGTCTATTAGGCACGGCTAAAGCTACCTGAAATCAAAAACATCACACGTTAAATACTAACAGAGTAACAGTTACTCTCTTTACTCAAACTGGTATTTGATGAACAGCCATGTTTCAATGTAATAAAATCAGCAAGTTAGATAAGCTTTTAAAAATATTTCTTGCTCAGGAGATAACATTTAAAATTTCCTAACTGCTGGCCTCATCTGTGTGATTTCCCTGAAATGACCCATTTAATGAAAGGAATTACACAACTGGATCCGTTCTCTGGGCCACAAAGGAGAAAGAGGTGAAGACTCTTCTCCCAGGGCAAAAGGTGATAATAACTGTAAGAATTAGACGAACAACTCAAGCCTGAATTGATTTCATCTTTAAATGGACTTTACTAAGGGTGTGGGTCTCTCAGTTGGCTGGGATTCTTGGATGTGTGGATTAAAGTTCTTCATCAAAACCAGTATTCCTTCCAACATTTTGCCGGTTTCTTTCTCTCTCTGTGCTCTCGCTCATACTCCCACTACACGCAGCTGCTCTACTTGAGGTATCCCACATTTCCCTGAGGCTCTGCATTCTTTTTCTTTTCTCCATCTTTTTTCTCTGTTCTTGAGACTGATGTAGGTAGGTAGGTAGGTAGGTAGACAAATGGACAGAGAAACATCTTCAAGCTTTCTGACTCCTTCTTCTGACGGTTCAAATCTTCTGCTGAGCACTCTAGAAAATTCTTCCTTTCCCTCATTGTACTTTCAGCTCCAGGACTTCTATTTGGTGCTGCTACATAACTTCTCTTTCTTGATTTTCTCTGAGAGTCAGTGCCGTCCCATGTGACTTCCTTCAGCATGCTCTCCTTTATCTCTGAACACATTTAGAACAGCTGCTTGGAAGTCTTCGTCTATGAAAAAGACCTCTCAAAGGCAGTTTCTATTGCCCGTTTTGTTCTGGTTTTCTTTTCCTGTCTCTGGATCATGTGCTCCTGTTTCTTGTGTGTCTTGTAATTTTTTGTTGATGACTGGACATTTTAGATAACCTGTTACAGCAACTCTGGACACTGACCCCCTTTCCCCTCGGCAGGCTTGTGGTGACCGGACCCTAGTTTATTTGTATAGTGTCTTGGCTAGCCTGTTTTAGCTAAGTCTACGTCCCCCACCATGAGCAGCCCCTGGTGGTGCTCCTCAGAGGTGCAGCCTCAGGCAAGAACGCAGTCACCCCGGGAGCTCCACGGTATTAGCAGGGGTCTCTGCGACTGTCTCTCCTAGATCTCTCTGTTCAATTGTCTGCCTCATTTGGTATCCTAATACCCAACTGCTAGGCTCCACATGCCGGATGACTGCTCTATTATTTTCAACAGTGCCGTGGGACATAAACTGCTCTGAAGTCAGGCCTCTTCACAGAGCTAGTCTTTGAAGCCAGGCTTTGAGATTTAATGATCCCATGAGGGCTCTCCTTAGTTCCCTCTCCATGGTTCTCTCTAGTAAACTTCCAACTGGGCCAGTTGTTAGCTTCCTGCTCTCATGGAGCTTACCAGCCTCCTCTTGATTGTTTATCACTAACATAATCTAGTTTCTGTGGGCACCCTTACTTTTGAATTTCCAAATACTCTGTTCCATGACGAGTCAGTTTCCTCGGAAGAACCTCAGCCATCTCTTATCATGACAGCCTGCCTTACCCCCTGGGCAAAACCCCTCCTCAACTGCGATAGGGGGAGGGGCAAAGAGAGTGGCCCGCTTATCTCCAAGTGACAGCCTCACTTTACGAGAAGTGGTGTTGGGCAGGGCCAGTAGCTACTGGTCTCCTCAGCTTTCCTCTTCCAGAATCTTGCAAGCTGGGGCAAGAGGGAGTGGGGCCCGAGCCCCACCCTCTACGTGGGAGCTGGAGAGAGGACAAGAATCCCCTGACCCTGAGCTATTCCTACCTCAAAGAGCTTCAGCAACACAAGCCGGGCGTGGCGGTGGGGTAAGAAAAACTAGTGACCTCCTCCTCCTGGGAAGACAGCATGGCCCTATTCTGGAAGCTGGGGCAGACGGATCACGTGTTTTGGCTGCACACGCCTGGAGTGGACATTCCACCAGGCTGAACCAGGGGACGAGGGAGAAAGGGGAGGTCTGTGGCTCAAATACCAGAGTCTCACTGTCTTATCAGGATAAACATTTCATCATTCGCTCTATGCCCTGAGGACAATTCCCAGACACTTCAAACGTTTGTTTGTTTTAATTTTTACCAGTTACGATGCCATGACCGTTTCACTGGGGAGAGGGTCCAGGGAACTCCTCACACCGTCGTTCCGGAAGCAGTTTCTTCATACTGCTTTAAGTATACTTCATTTACTCCGGAATATTTACTATAGTAGAATCTTATTGCCTCAAACCTTATTTCTTCTTTTACACGCCAGGCTCTTTTTGAGTCCTTTGGCAGAATGTGTGAATGTTTGAGAGTGTGGGATTTTTGGAAATGTTTGAGGTAAAGCCCAGGTTGAATTAGTGTCAAATCCAAGTTATAAAGTATTTTTAGAAAAAAATGTTTTTAGATAGAATTTGAGAACTAAAGAATAACTAGCATTGTCTTACATAAAAGAAGTGCTTAAGTCATTTAATAAAGATTTTAGTTTATACAAGGATCACTTGCATGCATTGGGTTTTTCTAAAGACTTCTGGGTACTACAAAATTTGTGTAAGTAAAAATATTCCCATAATTATCTCAGGTACATTATATTTTTATCAGCCAGACTTTTCTATATATATCATGTGTTACCGATCAAAATATCCACACATAAACAACACTTCCGATCCAAGAAGCATACTCTGATTCAAAGAAGTGTGAATTACTGAGGACCTATGCTACGAAATTATACATATGATAATATGTGTAGTTTGCACATATAGTAATATGTGCATTCAAAATATAGATAAGCACACTTAAATACCCATATATTTTGCTTATAAGGCCAGAGCCTACCTTGACTTTGTCTGACGTCCGTTTTCCACCAATGCCTCCAGAGCCAACAACGAAAATAGAGAACTGATTATAACATACAAGTTCCTCCTCAAAGTAAGAATAGACTGAAAAGCAAATGAAAGAAAAAATAAAGTTATTCTCAAAAGACATGACTAGTTAGCAATATATGATCAGCGATTCCTTTCAAAGTTTCGAAAACAAAATCCAGTTACTGAAAGGTATGGTAATTTAAAGATGCCCAAATTTGGTTTACAAAGCATGATTTTAATTCATTCACTACCAGTCTCTAGAAGGCAGAGTGAAGAGCATCTTCACAAATCCTCTCTTCATTATGAAACAGCAGTTTCTCTCACCTCTTCTTAAAACTCAACTGCCTATCATATCTCAACTCTCTCCATCTCAAACATTTCCAAAAATCCCACACTCTCAAACATTCACACATTCTGCCAAAGGACTCAAAAAGAGCCTGGGGTGTAAAAGAAGAAATAGTGAGAATGAAGGTGTAAGATTCAGGAGGGCAGAATCATGGGCATTTTCCTCACCATCCTATTCCCAGCAATCAGGATAGTACCTGGGACTGAAAAGGCACCTAATAAATATTTATTAAATTAACGAGTAAATTAACAAATATATGACATCAGTGAGCAAGTCAGTGAATAAGGAATGAATGTAGGACAACTGTCCCTCTTTCCACTAACTAATTTCCCAGTGAGAGTTTGAGTACTATCTTGTATCTCCAGCTCTAGAAAACTAGAAATAGGACTTTGAATGACAGACTAAGCAAAAATCTAATTACAATAAAAAATAAGGAAGGTCATGGCAATTTGTATTTAAAATAAGATTTTTCTCTTCCTTACACAGGAAATTGGATATCTCATTTCATATACACTTTGTCTACAAATTCTAATATATTATTACCCATTACCAAGCTGGAGTTAGATCAGTGGTGTAGGTCAAAAGAAAAAAGTAAACAGGGTAGCTAAGGTCACGGCAGAACCTCTGTTTTGTGGTATGTTACATATTTGGTAGCACGGGGAGAAGAGTAAAAGAAAACTAGGAGAGTTGAAGCCAAATGTTGGCCAACTTCAGGAATGACAAGAAAACACAAAAATCTACAACAGAAAAGGGAGGATGAAGAGAAGACGAGAAAGAGAAAAAGAGAGAGAAAAGACATACGATGAAATTCTATGAGCTAACACAAACAATTTAGTAGAACACTTAAGAGCATCAAAATTGTTCTCAGCATATTATTTAGTAAAAACAAGACAAGCTCCTCTAACAGCATATAGAGTAAAACCTTCTATTTATCTAGTTAGAACAAAAATGATGAAGCCTATATTCCAACTATCAGACAATATTAAACTTTCCACTATAATTTATTTCCAAATTTTTTAACAATACAGATCTATTTCTTATCTTCTTAAACTTCAGGATAAATGAATTTTAAGCGATGGATCTTTAGCTGATGTTTAATTACTAGCATTTCAACATTTATTAAACTACTGTAACCTTTTTTCTCCCCACTGCAAATAAAATGTGGCTCCGGTGCTGAAGCCACATTTGAGTTCAACAGGCCTGAACGCGCAACATTAGGAACCTAACTACTGTTTATGAAAATGACTCCGGGGTCAAATACGTTCCAAGTTCCAAAGAGCTAACAAAGACAAGAGTATCTACAACATCGGCTCACTATCAACCGATGGCTGTCGATGTGTGCCTTCCCACCAAGCCCGTAGTCCAGCGAGCTGAGCTCACCACCCTGCTCTGTACACCTGCCACATCTCTCACCCCTGTGCTTTGGTCCTGTGTCAGAAACACCCCAGTCTTCCCACCCCTACCCCAACCCACTCTTTCTCCCCATCTTTGCTTCTTCTCTAAGAACTTATAAATTTTTGGAACGCTTATCTTGTTTTCTCACAAACTAGAAGATGAACACAAACTCACTGATCAGATTCTAGGGTGAAGCATTAGGTTACATACAAGGCCTACTAATCTAACAATATTATGAGAAGAACTGGAAGTGAGTTACCATCCACAAGAATTACTAGACCGGATCCTTTATCTAGGACATCAGCAATGACTGCTTCACATTTTAAGTTTCCTAAAATGAAAAGCAAAATAAATAAATAAACAGACACTTTTGAAGACCATCAAGTTATTGCATCCAGATAGGAGAGAATGTAACATAATTTCCACTGTAAGTTCAGGAATAGAAAGTTATGCTTTGAAACAATTTTCAATATAATGCTGAATAATTCAACATTAAAAGGAAACAGAATGCCTAAGTCACTACATTTGAAACAACAAGGAGCAACATAAGATCAAACCTCTAATACCCAGAGAATCGAGGGACCAGCATATCCCGAACTAGATGGAAAATAAAGTGCTGCTGTTAGGTTTCTTGTACTCAATCTAATGCTTATTTTTTTTAGCCCAAGGAGGGGTGACTCAGCCTCTGACAGCGCCACCACAGCTAACAAGTGAGCCAACTGAGACACAGAGACGCCGACATCAGTGTCCCGATGTTTGTGGTCCTGTCTCATCACCTAAGTTTTAAGGGAAGATCATAAATAGCCATCACACCTTGATTTTCTACAGTTTAAAGAGGTTCTAAAACTTAAGCATCTCAGATTTTGAATATTCCTATTTACTAGACAGGAAACTTTAACACTACTTAAAGAAAATGTACAGAAGCTACTGAAGAAAAATAATTCATGAGAAACATCACTTGAGACTAGGAAGGTACAAGAAGCTGACAGATCTATTTTCCACACCTTCCTATTCATATGTCTTTTCAGTTGTAATCTTTTTTTTTTTAAAGATTTATTTATTTACTTTTGAGAGCGAGCACACGAATGTGAAAGCAGGGGAAGGGGCGGAGGGAGAGGGAAAGAGAATTTCAAGGAAACTCCCCACTGAGCATGGAGCCTGATGCGGGGCTCAATCCCAGGACCCTGAGATCACACCTGAGCCGAAATCAAGAGCTGGACGCTCACCCAACTGAGCCATCCAGGCACTGCTGTTGTAATCACTTCTGAGTATACGCCTCTAGCTCTCTCTCCAGATTTAAAATCCCTACTAGAGGCAGAAGTCTCAGACGTTTCTGCTTTCCTCAAAGCACTAGTTCCCAAGTGAACCCATGTTAGGCTGGTGGCACACACAACAGAGAGGGACCGTTCTGGCCTCTGCCACGGCCCCCAGCACCACCACCACACTGCACGCACACAAAACCTTCCTATTTTATTTAAAAAAACAGGTAGGGGCACCTGGGTGGCTCAGTCGGTTAAGTGTCCAACTTTTGATTTCAGCTCAGGTCGTGCTCTCAGGGTTGTGGGATCGAGTCCCACATAGGGCTCCATGCTGGGCATGAAACCTGCTTGGGATTCTCTCTCTCCCTCTGCCCTTCTCCCCACTCTAAAAAAAAAAATGAAATGAAATATGGGTGCTGGGGTGGCTCAGTTGTTAAGCGTCTGCCTTCCGCTCGGGTCATGATCCCGGGGTCCTGGGATCGAGCCCCGCATCGGGCTCCCTGCTCGGTGGGGAGTCTGCTTCTCCCTTTCCCACTGCCCCTGCTTGTCTTTCGCTGTGTCTCTCTGTCAAATAAATAAATAAAATCTTTTAAAAATAAATAAAATAAAATGAAATAACAGTTAATATAATATAATGTAGTAACAGGCTGTTGCAGCAGGTAGCCAGGTTAGAGAATTCATCCAAAACTGAAAACTGTGCCTTGCCCACGGCAGGTGACCAGCAGATACTTGATGCAGGCGGCTACCACCCGCTGGGCACTGCCTCACAGAATACGTAGGCCATAACACCTAAATAAAGCTATTCGGCTTTATGCAATGAGAAGCTCATAAAATTTTTAGTAAAATAAGAAGAATTGGGGAAACATTAAAGGAGGAGCCCAGCTACTTGCTGACCTCTATGTTATATAATGTGAAATGATAAGCACTTTTTTTGTATTTTCCATCTTATATGGTATTTAATTAGACAATATGCTGACATTAGAGCAGTGAAACAAAACAAACCTGTCAAATTACAGTGGAAAAATGAGAAAAGCAGTTTTACTGAGCAAACATATTACTGAGGAAAAGAAAATTCATTATTAAGGCAGACGTGAATTTTATTTACTTTTTTTTACTTTTAGAAAAGAAAGCAGGAAAAAGTGAATTACAAGAAATTCGGTCTGTATTTTAATGTGGTTTGCTTTATGAAAATCACTACCAACATAAATACCCGAGAAAGGAATCAGAAACCATATTCATAGGAATCATAGCTGATTACACACAATTACTAAGTTCAGAACACACATACTTAGAAAAGACTCTTTTCACTTGTTAACAACACATACATCAATGGAGATAACCTGTCAGTGTTCTGAAGTAATGTATTAAATTAGGCTACTAAAGGACAAAGTCTAAGGTCACCAAAACAGCTACTCCTTAACATCAATTTACTCTAACGGCTGACAGGCCATTCAATACCTTGCCATATGATTTATTTAAGTCACTCTGCACCAGCTTAACACAATGACACAGTATGGAAGGTTAGTCAGGAAATAAAATGAGGGTATGATTAAGAAATCAGTGCTTCACGCACTCACCTGCTCTGGGAAGCGGTTTATATAACTCCAAGTATTGCTCCCCGTGGAGAACCTATGTCAGGGTAAACAAAATTTTATTAGCAGACTTTCATGTCTCACAGGTTCTGCTGTGAATATTGCTAATCACAAGTGATATTTCACCGTCTACATGCTCACATCACTACTTCCCCAAATTATCTGTCTCAGTTTGGCTTCTACTTCTTAACCATATGATTCAAAATTAATCAGTCCCCCAATCTAAAGACAGTCAGATCTTTTGGAGCAGAAAAGATACCTCTGTGTTCTTCCATGACGTTCACAAATCTTTGTTGACTGCTAATTATGGATTGTTTGCCAATGCAAACACTAAACTAGGCTATATTTCCAGTGCTTATCACTGTGCCTGGAACATACTGGGTAATTAATAAATATCTGTTAAATAAAAATGAACAAACTGGCCAGTGCAAGTAAAGTAATTTCAAATCACACATACCACATACAAACAACTCAACTAAAACACGAAAGTAAACCCTACGACACATTCAAAGTAAAAAACTATCATGGTCAACATTTCCTTGGTGTAGTATCTTATAAATTATCTGTATCTATAGATATAGCCGTAGATATATGTGCATCCATAAGATATATCTTATAAATTATCTATTAGTAGATACCAAGGACACTGTGTAACTTGATAGCCCCTTAACCTCAATGGATGGAAACAAGAATACACCAATATATGTAGGAAAATAATAGGACAGGAAAAACAAAACCTGACCCACATATTCAAATGACCACACCCCACTGGCAGGGGACAGCTTTAATTCTGCGTCTTCCTCCAAAGCCAGAAGGGAACAAACAGGACAAATGCAGGACAGCCCACTGTATCACATGGCCTGGAAGCCTGAAGCTGGGAAGACGGGGGTTTCAATTCAAGATGGCTATTCTTCCACGCCGAAGACTGTGAACACCATTTATGATTGTTCCAACTCCTTCCAACTCTGAAGGAGTATTTTGCAGAATTTTGAAACATTTGCTTTGTTTGTACTTGAATTATCCAAACAGAATACCATGGGACAGGGACTAAAACAACAAACCACCTGGTACATATCTCTTGTCTCCCTCCCAACTTCATCAGATGCTCAAATAAAATCATTTTTCACAGATTCAGAGCAGCAGTGGGCTAACCGATCCTCTAGTGAATGGGTCCTCTAATTACCAAAGTCAGAGAAATTGGCTCACAGCTCTATGATTTAAGAGTTATCCCCGGGCTCAGTCTCTGAACCTTATTCCAAAACAATGAAATCTACCCCACCTCAAAAGCTTTCTCACAGTTGTTCGACTCCTTCCTTCCTGAAACAATTTGTTCACTTTGCTTCTCAAACACCACATCCTCCTGATACTCGTCAGAGCTCATACCTCACCAGCCATTCCTTCTCAGTCTCTCTTGCTAATTCTTCCTCATGTCTTCACCTTCTCAACACTTGCAGGGTCCCTGAGCTCAGGCTCTTCTCTACTTACACTCATACATTACGTGATTTCATCTAGTCTGGTGTCTTTACACATCGCTGAAAGCCTAAGAACGCCAGTGAGACCCCTCCCCCAAACTCAAGATTCACATATTCAACTACCTATTTTATAATTTTATACCTCCACCTGAATAAGTAATAGAATCTCAAGTCTGTCCAAAACCAACTCCTGATCATGCCCACCTTAAAGTAATTGGATATATCTACCTTACCATACACAATGTTATATGTAACTACTATACATATTAAGTGTGTTATATGTAATTAATCATAAATAATGTATAGAGACATATATGCACATACATCATCCCAGTTACAAAAACCTTCATCATTGACTCCTTTTTCCTTTCCCTCACATCCAGCCTTTTGCTTAAATTACAGAAGAGACTCCTAACAGGTTTCTCTGCTTCTGCTGGGCTCCCATATAATCTACACAGTAGCAGAAATGAGCCTGTGAGCGAACACAGGCAGATCCTATCACTCTTCCGTTCAAAGCACTACAAACTGCCCCCCGTCCCCATGTTAATCAGAGGGTAAGCTGAAATCCCTCTAATGACTACAAGGCCCTCTTCTCCTACCACTGCCCTCCCGTTCCTCCAATAGCTATACTGGCCCCCTTGCTGTTCCCAAAACAAGCCAAGCATGCACCTGCCTCAGGGCCTTCCACACTTCTTCTCTGTGCCTCAAATACTCTTCCCAGATCACCACCTGGTTTACTCCTTCACCAGTAACATCAGGTAAAAATTATCACCCCCGTTTTATAGACAAGGAAACTGAAGCTTAGTGAAGTTCTTTACCCTTGGTCGAACAGTAAGTAAATGGCAGAGAGAGAATTAAGAACATGATGCCACAGTTGGGGCACAGGACCTAATTGTTGTTTTCTTCTTTTTGCTTGCCCTTTCAACTAACTCTCCTCTCTTTTATGCTTCAAGAAAAATCAAAAGATATGCTAAGTCTTTATTCCTGAATCAAGTGCCACAATTTTATTAATACACATGTGCATGCATGCACACACACACGTGTGCACACACACATATGTGACAGAGATCAATCATATTTAAAGAAACCAAAAAAAAGCAAAATAAAGTTTTCTTATTATGCATACCTTTTCCAAGTTGACTGAAAACCCAGGAATCCCTGATAATTCTCCACCTACTATAGGTTTCTGAGCTATAATAACTCCAAAGGTAGGCAAACAGGAGAAATCGGTGCTTCCTTCATATATAAATTTCATATCTTTCGGTTCCTTGATTGATGCCCCCACACCAAGGGCATACATAATAGCTTCCAGTTCCGTGTAAGCAGAAGAAAAGGGAGGAAGCTTATGGCCAATGGCTCCAGCCTATGAAAGAGGTGTAGAAAATTATTTTTTCACTGATATTTTTGTCCAATACTTAACATTTTAACTTCTTCAAAACTACCAACTGCTTGCATACCTATTTTGCTTTCGAACAAATGTGAATAGAATGCCATGTTGGTGAAATCCATGGGGTCTCTGAACTGTTTCATTATATTTTAATAGCAAACAATCAGAAAATGTGTAGAAAAGGGTTTCATTTACAGATAAGTACTTTTTTATTGTTTGCTTCTTACCGACAGTTTGTCTCATTTTCAAATTTCCTATATCTGATGGTGAGAAGCCCTATTAATCCGGCAACTATTAGCAACTCAAAAATACAAAAAAAAATCATCATTATTATGAATGTGTCATAAATAGGGATAGTGAATTGCCCTATAAGAGCTACTGTATAAAATTCACTGTAAAGAGATGAGCAAAACACTGCATAATGCTTGTAAATGAGACTGCCTCACAATGGTTTTAGTTAAATTGCGATTTTACCTTAAGTTCCTTGCTAGGAATGTCCCTTATCTCACTGATATTGTATTTTTCTACTTAGTTATGATATGTCTAGCTAACGTGTAAAGTATGTATTAGGTTAAAAAAGAATGATGTCCAACTGTCGACCATGTTCATTCTGAAACAGGAGTCAGTAAACAAGGGCTGAGAGCTAAGAATGATTTTTACATTTTTAAGGAATGGTTAAAAAAAGAAAAACAGGAAGAATATGTGACAGAAATAGTATGTGATCTATAAAACATTTATCATCTGGCCCTGTCCTGAAAAAGTTTGCCAAATCCTATTCTAAAGTAAAATCATATTTATAACCCGATCATATTCTTAGGGTTAAAATTAGATTGTTAACTTTATCACGATGTTTGCCCTGAGTCACAGAACTCCAAAATCAAATGCATCAAATGATTTATTTCTTCTATTTATGCACTATAATTTTTTGTTTAAAGGCTAAATACGGGAGACAGTAAATCAGTGAACTTCACGAGCTATAACCACAGTTCTATTAGGATTTCGGACACAATGGGAGGCTCTTTATTTGCAGCCATATTGAAATAGTTCCAAAATACAATCTATTGATGCTTTCCCTGAGGGAAAAAAAAAAAAAAAGGCTCCAAAGAGGCACTTAAATAGATATCCTTTTCTAAAAAGTTAGAAAAATAGTAACTAAAGTAGGTTTATCCACAACAGTACCAAAAAGTGGGGGGGGGGGGGGGGAAAAATTTCTTCATTAACTAAATAAATTAATTAAAAATTAAAAAAAGAAGTAAAAGTTACACAAAGCTACATCTTAGCCTTATGTTCATTCAAATTCTATAACTATTAGGTACATATTTTATAAAAAGTTTTGTCATCATCTATCTTTCCTATTTAACAATAAATTAGTAGCTTGGAAAATAATATTTTTTGTGTGAAAGAAGAGAAAAAAGAGAGAAAAAAAGAAAAGAGAGAATCTTCAGAAAAAACATAGGCTTCTCTCCCCCACTTACAAATTCCGATGTAGCTGTTGATGCTGCATGACTCGTAGGATTTGTCGAAACTCCTCTCTCTGAATCTATTTTATTTAGAACTTCAATTATACTGCCAATTGATTCTAAAGAAATAATAACAACAACGATGCTTTTGTTAAAGATGTGACTAAGAAAAGCTATCGACGTGCTCGCTAATCACTCCTATGACATTGAGCAAGCCTGCCACAGTACTGAATGAGAGGTCGGGCTATTACAGGAAAAAACCGTCAAAGACTTTGAAACAGACCAAGGGTAACTGGGGGTTTTCATTGGAGAACAAGGCACTGTCCAGCATACTCTTCCTGGATTATGAGTCTAAGGAGGTTCTGAGCTTTGCAACGTCTCTGACAGATTTTAGAACTCCGTAGACTGGGACCCTCGACCAGAGACATGCAATTTTTGGTAAAGGAAAAGCTAACTTCCCTTTTCTCCCCACCACTGCCCCCTCCTCCGGGATGGAACAATGCCAAGATTACCCCTGAGCCCCCCACGTCTCAAGTGATAGCTCTGAAGACAGTACTAAAAATTCTTCCAGGGAAAACCATCACTATGACCAGAGATTCCAGACAGGGTTCAGAAGCTGCTGTTGTGGGGTCAAAAAGGTTAACGAAGGAGATTCAGGGGGCATCTACATAGGCCATAAGATTCCAAAGACTCTGGGACTTTTCTAACAAACCCTGGCGCTACGGACCTCCTTCCAAACTCGGACAAAACCTCTAAGCAAACCACAGAATGCGATGTGATCGGGGAAATCTCCCATTCCTGGTGACACTAGTGGAGAGGCTTGGGGCCACTGAATCGTCCCCTCACCCCCCCACTCACACTGCTGCCAGAAGGTAACTGAAAGTCACCTTGCTACAGGCTGAAAGCACGGCACCCAGACACGGGCAGCCTGAGTTAACTCGGCTCAGATGCTGAGCAAGCTTGGACCGATCATTGCATCTGTCGGGCGCTTAGTCGTGTCATCTGTAAGATGAGAACAGCTGTACAGAAAATGTGAGATTTTTCTTCTCTAACTGTACCTCAAATACTTAGAGGCATTTTTTTCATTTATAATTACATGATTCATTTAGGTAGTTTTTTCTTTATAATACTTTTAAAGCAATAAAGCGGAACTTGGACATCAGAGGAAAGTTTTTATATTTCTTCCTTTTTCCTTTCATTCCTTTTCATCAATGGGTGACTGTTATTCACAGGCTAAATTTATCTCCAACATCAAAATATGGAAAACAGCAAATGCTCCCATCAACGACATAACAATGATGTTATTATCATCTGATTGAGAAAGAGCACAATGAGAATTTCAGTGAGTGTACCAGCAGACAGGAAAGTGTCATTAAGGAGGGAAAAAAAGCCAGAATAGCCAGTTTTTCAGATATATTCTCCTACCAAACACTGAATACAAAATTACTAAAAGAAAAAAGAAAAAGATTTGTCTGTAAAATAATCCTGAATCATTATCTTTCCCAGAAAAGTCCTTTAAACATCATATACTATATACATATGTGAGTTATACTAGAAAAAATGTGACTTCTACTGCTTGCTATTCCTGTGACAGACCACAGACGACTCAATAATTCACGGTAACAAGCATTTATGAATCCTTCCTGAGTTTGGCACCGAATACAAGAGCAGTGCTTACAAGACACAGTCTCTGCCTCCAAAGGAACATACTGCACAGTTAAGAAACCACATACTTAGGACGCAAAAGCAGCTCTGATGAGATGCCAAGTGGTCAGGGTTGAGCCGAGAGAGATCCACGTAGCATGAAATATATGGGGGTGGTTTGGTGAACATCCCGGGCTTGAGCTTAGATTTCTAAAGAAGCACTAAAATTAACAGATGTGATAAAGGGAGGAAGGGGCGTTTGAGAAGGGGAGAGAAACAGCGGCAAAGACAAAGCGCTAAAACAAAGCAAAATCTACTCACCAGACAGAAAAGAGCTACGCCTAAACAAAATTGGCCTAAACGAACTTTTAGGGCAATAGAGACAAATTCGGTGAGGTAAAGTGTATATGGTTAGGTAACAGAAGACTCTGAAACGAGCCGTCAGACAGGGAGTAGATGCGTGGAGCACGAAAGGGTGAACACTTCACACCATCCCCAACCTGGACACCCACCAAAAAAAAAAAAAGGATTACAACAAGCCAGGAAAATGGACAGGGGGGCTGATATATATATAATGTTAAATTTGAAGAGTTCTAATAGCTACCAGAGCAGAAAATGTGCCCTAGTTAAAACAGAAGACAATTCCGAAAGAGCAGAGAACGCTCTGTTGCCTCTGGTTTCCCAGCCGGGGATGAACGGACTTGGGACTCTACCTTGAATTCTCTGAGGCTTGCTGGCATTATCAAAGTCACAGATCTTCTTCCAGTTGGCCTTCACGGCCTCAGGAGTCATTGGCTGATTCTTCTGTCTCACAATGGCTCCAAGGGCCCGCTCCCAGCGTACTGGTCACAGAAACAAAATGAAGACACTGAGCACAGAGTCTAAGAGGGACAAAGAAAGTAAAATTCATCTGAGCCCTTTGAATTTTTTTTAACTTTAAGAGAAAGGGAATTCAGGGGGAAAAACAGATTCTAACATCCGAAGAGTTTTACTACAAGCCTTTAAATGTATTTTTCTTGAAATAACAAACCCATTAGGATAATGTGAATTAAAAAAAAAAAAATTTAAAGCTGAAGGGAAAAACCTCTCCTCTGACTATGCCAGACACTCCTAAAGGTAGAATGTGCGGCTGAACCAGAAAAATTTTAATTATACATAATCACACCAAAAGACTGACTTCATGACCACAGATCACTCAGATGGTGATAACAGGTCAAAGACTCCAGATAACCAAATTAATACATCACACAGCCCCAAATAATTCTCCCTCGCGCCCCCCTTTGCTCTTGTTCCTTTTCCACAGGAAGTCAACTAGAATAGGGCAGATGCACAAAAATCATCATTGCTATAGAAGTTCTATGAGGAGAATTTTTAACACCATTTTCTTTTCAAAGAGCCCAAGGAATAAAATAGCCACTAATAACCTTATTTAAACACGATGGTCAGACTTCGACGATTATTAAACTAAAGATCTGTTTCAGGCAATGACAGAAAAGCCTGCTTCTAGAGCTTTCCTACTGATAAAGTCCCAGAAAAAGCTTTTATTTCAACAACTGATTTTCTTTCCAAATGGATATCCCGAGACACTTATACTGAGCAATGCTTAAATAGTATGTTACGTTAATAACCGAAAAGAACGGTCATTAATGATGAAAATATTGATACTCTATGTTATAACGATACCCTCCAATAATGACCACCTTTTAAATAATTAACTTTGATACCAGCAGCCAACTGAAAACTTGATTTGGGATACTGGAATTTTCACAATATTTTTTAAATGTCATGAAACAATTATCCAATTTGCAGCACAAAAGATTTGAGAGCTGGAGAAAGAGAGGGTTGAAGAAAGGAAACATGAGTTTCCTACTGGAATGAAGTGGAATAATTTCCAGACATCAACTGCAATTTCTGTCTCAGCAAGTTGTCCACTGTGATTCCTCACTGTCACCTCCTGTTGCCTCATGGCCCCAAGGAAGAAAAGAATCCAATAAGAGAACTGGAGAACCTTCCCGCTGTGCCATCTAGCACAGGGCTCTTCCCAGCTTTTCCAAACAGTCCTCTCTCCCACTCACTTCTCTGCAGAAATAGCAAGAACTATCATGTGGGACGCCAGAGATATGGGAGGACAAACACCAATATAAAAAGAGATCGTGCTGTCTGAAGGAACAGACAAGTCCTGAATAAGGGCTGCTGACAGGAAAAACAACCACAAAAACTCAACAGTTTCTTGAAAATACCAAAGGCCTGCAGAACAGCTTCCACATTTTAGAATACCTTTTGGTAGAACCATGTTTGAGTGTGAATATGTATGCATGAGCTCCAAGAATGAGGCATTTGGCAAGGTCTTTACGCAGCTCCAGTTGGATGTGCAGGGTTAAAAATACAGAAACGTACAGCAAACCAAACACTGAAGGAGACTTACGTTTTCCAATCCATCCTCCTCCAACCTACCAAAAAGAAGAAAAAACAGTTATACCATCGAGAGTGAATCACACAGAGATTTGTTAAATTAGAAAAACCGTCTGGGGGGCGCCTGGGTGGCTCAGATGGTTAAGCGTCTGCCTTCAGCTCAGGTCATGATCCCAGGGTCCTGGGATCGAGCCCCACATCGGGCTCCTGGCTC